CCACTTTCAAATACTGCATTTTTCAGTTCTGCCCTCGGGGCCTTTGCAGAAATGCCCCTGGTACCGTATGTGTCACCGGTACTTATGCCGGCTCCCCGTACGGTACGGGGACGAGTCTCGACCAGTTCTCTGCTGCTGTACTCGTACTCAGTGTGACTTGCCGTTTCGGCATTCGGAATCCAAGACTTCGACTTTGTGCCTTGCCACTGTGTCTGCGTCCGACCCTCAGTCCGAGTCCGTCGTGTCGTGTGAGTGAGTGTGTGTGTGTGCTCTCACTCTCTCCCTCTCTCTCCCTCTCTCTCATCTCCCTCGACTCACCCTCAACCTCACTCCCGTTACACTAAGAGGTGTTGGCGCTGCAGGCCAGTGGGGCACCAAGCGGCCATAGCCAGGCTGCAGGGGCGCAGGCAGGTGGAGGCGACGGTGGTCTTCAGGAAGGAGGCGCAGGTGGGGGTGGACAAGGGCTGATGATGGGAGTCGAGAGAACGTACCTGGTGTATGTGGGAGGTCGGCAATGGTGTTGACATCATGTGCATTGGTCTTTGTTGTCGAAGTGAGCCTGTTGCACGAACGTAGGTAGGCTAGGTAGGATAAGAGAGTAGGCTGGGCGCTGGGCGGCAGACAGGAGGAGCGACATTGAATACTGTGTTGGTGTGGCCTGAGGACATGGACATTGGCTCACGAGTTCACTGTATCACTCTTATTTGGATGGAATCTTGGTGCAATTTGAGCTCTGGTTGTTACATGACTATCTGGACTTCAGCGTGATTTTGCAACTTGGTTTCTGTATCGTTCTCGCTCATATTCCTTGCATTTATTTATTTATTCTTGAGAAAAGAGGCAGCTTTGGCCTGCTAGGCAGAGTGATAGGAGCACCTCCTCCTAGTAGGCACCTGTCAGTAGGCTCTGGCCGCTCTGCTAGCTTGTAATCTCAGCAAGTAAATGAACTTTTCCTGTGGATGTGGGGGCACATTTCATTGTTATGTGCAGAGTGAGCAGAGTACAACTTTCTAAGAAGGCAGATCACCGACAAGATCATCAGCAATATCCTTTTCATCAACTTAAAAGTTAGAGACCCAACTGTTTTCTCTCAGCTCAAGGTTTCAGACTCAAAGGTATGAACTTCTCTCAACAGTCTTTCTCAAGATTGAACCTATTTGCCATTCAGCAGACTATTCATAGGACACACTATAAATCATTATTAAAATGTGTGAAACGGTTTTCACCTATTAGCAGTAGTGAATGCAGGTCCTAGGGCTCCATCCCTAGACTCCACCTTACCTGTGTACATTACCTGCGTCGATCCCAGGAGTCGAACCCCCGACCTGTGTTTGTTCCCACAGTTGGTAGACTGTCGTAGGGTCTGTAGAAGGTAGGGTTCGATCTGTAGACCTGTCGAGTAGAGGTCTTAGGAAGTTCTAGAAGTCGTAGCTGTAGGGCTTCTGAAAGGTCAAGGTCGTAGCTGCTACAGTCCGGAAAGGTCAAGGTCGTAGCTGCTACAGTGTCCGAAAGGCCAGGACTGAAGTTTCCGGAAGGTCCTAGTACTGGCCTTTCGAAGCTGCTCACGTTTAGGCTGAGGCAAGTGGGCAAGTGGTGGAGTCTACCCGTGCTGAGTCAGCAGTCCCAGTCCAGTCGGTCCTAGTCCAGTCAAGCAAGTACCGTATGGGACTGTGTGCACCACGGGCATGGGAAAAGGCCAGACCATCGGGCTACAGAAGTATAAATCAAGAGGCAGCGCCCAGCCATTCATTCATTCCTGCGTGAGCCATGCGGAAGCGCTGCAACAGCGACTTGTGCGAGGTGGTCTGCAGTGAGCCCGAAGACGAAGTGGGCGACAAGGAAGTTTAGCCACAGCGATAGGCTAGAAGCGGCCATAGCCGCCATAGCCGATAGGAGAGAGTGGCGTGTGTGAGTGTGTGAGTGTACAGTGTGCTGCGTGTGGGATATCCAGGTTGAGCCTGTGTGTGCGAACAGCAGTGTTGAGTGAGTGACAAACAGAGAGTTGTACAGGCGCTGTGCCTCCATAGCCATCTGAAGTGACCGTGTACCTGAACTGCGTTCTTGGTTACTATATCTCTGAGTTTGAGTGGGCGCTTGTCGCCAGTTGCTGCGCAACCTGTTTGCATGCATGTGAAGTGTGGAGTCTGATTGCATGTGAATAACCTTGGGGGAAAAGTGGGGGAGCGAAGAGGATCCCGACTTGCTGGCAAGGCATATCCATAAGCCACGAGTGACTGAAGTGAGTTTTTGATTTGGTACTACCGGTAGGTAGGCTTATCAAGCTGCGCCTATTAGGTTCTTGGAGTAGCAACATGCAGCATACGTCATGAGCAAAAGAAAGTACGCTCTGCTGCCTGAGCACAGATATACCTAGAGTCCCTTGGGACACTGACATGCATTCTCCCCGCTTCCCCATGCGAACCCCAAGTCAAACCTGACCCAGCACAGTCTGGCGATACTTTATCACCATTGCAAAGGCGCTGCTTGATGCCCATGGCAGCATCCGGCAGCAACCTCCCCCAACTTGTCACGTCATCTGGTGGTATCAACCTCTTTCCCCTCTCAGGTCCTCGTCGGCATCCTTGCTCTCCCCTTCTCTCCCTTCCCCCTTTCTCTCCCCTCCCTCCTCTCCCCTGCCCCCTTCTCTCTCCCCCCCATTCCTCTCCCCTCTCCATCCCCCCCTCCCAAAACGAAAAAGCCCACTCTCTCCCCTCCCTTGCCACCCCCCTCCTCCCTCTGCCATCATCAGTAGCAATAACCTGTTTGCCTCAGCCCTCACATTTCCACCTTGTTTCCCGTTTTCCTTCACTTTTTGACGTTGAAACTGAAAACGTTGTATCTCAGGAAGTCCTTTGAGGAGAAACCATATGGCTGTTACTCTCACAGCACTTTACCAACATGATGACATGAGAAAGAGAAACTCGCAGTGTAGGACAGGATGGGTAATGCTCGACCAGGAAACAGTCAGACATTCTTTTTTCTTTCTTGAAAACGGAACTTCCTTAACGAGTTGATCCACTAGAAAGCTGAGGTAGAGGCCGTCATGATATGGCTCGAAGCTAGGCTTCCCTACAAGGTGACAACAGACACTTGTCAAACTGGCTAACTCGGTCCACCGATTATTATTTTAGTCGGCCAATACTGCCCAGTTTCGCAGCCAGTTCCGAGCCACCCCTAGACTTAACTTGTGGTGCTAAGGCTAATTGACCTTAGGCATGCGTTGCCCCAGCCCTGAACCCCATCATCCTGGCTTATGAACAAACACGTCCAACGTCCCTTGCATTGCATGCATGCAACATTGCCATCATGGAAATTGTTGCACGTACGTGCTGTACGAAGAGAGGATAAAGAGTGCGAAAAGTAACTCCCCATAATACTCTACATATTTCACACGTACAAAGAGAGAGAGAGACAGGGAGCGCGGCCGGGGAGAGAGAGAGAGCGGGGGGCCGGAAGAAGTGAGAACGAGAAAGAATGAAAATGAAACAAGTTGAATTTCAGGGTTCGAAGGGGACAATCGCATTTGGCACAAATTTTGTTCAAAAAAAGAGGGTGACATGGG